GTTGTATAGCGGCAGCGCCATCTTATTGTGCGGTCGTATTCTGACTTCTGGCGTACATAACATGCAAATTAATTGCGGACAGCGGTGCAATGATGAAAAGCGAAGTGAATGTGCAAGTAAGGACTGTGTATATTAATTGTAGTTATAGTGCGTATAATTATTAACACTATATAAGAATAGTATTTTTCCGGCAAGAAATAGTTTTACACGATTAAACTTGCTTTGTGCGTTTACATTTATCTATATGTTTGAAGGAGTCAATCTATTCTCAGACCAATTAAAGCATTGTATTCTCAATCTGGCTGAAACAGTTTACAATCTCTGCACGGGATGCAAACCTATGATCTTTTTACACTTTACACGTTTAATTAAGCTCTAAGCATTATACTATAAGGTTACTGAATTAAAAAAAAAATCAGGGGAGGTTAAATTTTAAAAATTATAAATATGGGCCTCCTTCCAACGTGTTTCTAAAAAAAACTTTTTTTTTAGTACTATCGAAAATCCATCCGGGTCCACGCTACCGGCTACAGTTAGTGGAATTTTAAATGTCCAAAACCAAAATATCTTGACAACCAATTTAAATATTATATGGCTGGAGTGTCATCCTCCATGAAGTGGATTCTATGACAAAAAATGGTGGCATAGTATTAATATCAACAGCAAGCCAAACAACAGCAGTTGAGAACACAATATATTCAATAAAAGTTTAAAATAAGTTTCCCTGTGAAAATATTTACTAAAGCGACAATAACACAATTAATAAAAAAAGGTCTAGTAGCATACATGTTGTATGCAGATTAAAAATAAAACGTTATTTTATGAACGAACGGTGAAGAATTTGATTAATGAACGAATGAAAAATTAAAATTTCATTCGCGTTATTCTATTACTGAAAATCAAACAACAGTTTCAGATATTCGTTCTTCCTTTATTGTATACCTAATGTAAGGCTGCTATTCAATAGCGATAGATAAACAAATTCGCCTTCAAGATCACCTTCGCGATGATATTGAGATTATTTATTTAATAACAAACGTGGTCTCTTTCAGTTTCAGTAAATAATAGGAACACAGCACATTTACATACATAGGTACACAAAATATGATGAACATTCTAAATTCTATCGCATCTACCTAAACATGATGTATTACAAATATAACTAACTAATAATAAAAAAAAACATTTATCTTTCGAGTAGCTTTATTAAAATAATTTTTGTCAAAAATATAATGTGATAAAAGTGTAAAAATGTAAAAATCTTAAATGTCTTTTTCAAGCAACATTATAGAAAAGAATTATCACCGAAAATAGTGATCCACGAGTCTTTTACAGACACTTATTTTTAAATTTAATGAATTACATGAACTGAAATCTATTTTTAATTTATATAAATTCTTAGTTCGGTATATTACTTCATTATACATGCCAATCACTACGCTAGAGACTTCCTGAAAATAATTTACGTGGCAAAACAACATTTGCCGGGTCAGCTAGCTAGCGTATTAGGGAACCCCAAACGAATGTATATTACCGTCGAGGTCGAAGGAAATTAACATTCGGGATAACGTAATAGTACTATGCATGGCTTTTAATAATTGTAAAATTCAGGACAGGTCATTTGTTTGCGGTGCGGGGAACAAAAGGTTGGGACAATGGCTAAAGTAATAAAGCTACCGATGTGATATCAAAGTGTAATAAATCTATGCTATATGTATACTTATATATAAAGCTGAAGAGTTTGAACGCGCTAATCTCAAGGACGACTGGTTTGAATTGAAAAAAATCTTGTTTTGTTGGTTAGAGCATTTATCGAGGGAGGTTATAGGCTATAAAGCATGCTGCGACTAAGAGAGCGAAGAAACAACGCCAAAAGTAATTTATCCTTGTGTGTTTTCTCATGCGCACGCTGCGAACGCGGTTAAAGATATCCAAAAAATATGTATGAAATAATCATTCATCTTTAAATGATCAAAAATAAATCTGCGACGCCTATATCTCTATTTTTTAAGACGACGGCACGAGACGGACGTCGTCTTAAGACGATAGGTCGTGTGGTGAGGCGCGGTGTTGTGACGTCATCCACACCTGTTTACATTGAATTTATTGTCGTAGGTTACGACAAACATACCCTACGACATATAGGGATGACGAAGGAAAATATAAAGACGCAATTAACTTAGGCGACAATGAATTGACCTGTTATTTGTGTAAAACTGACGTTAACAATTTTCAGTTACCGTGCGCTTGAACATCTTTAGACTTTGAATATCTACTCTGCCTCTAGCGTCCTCATATTATTGTCATAGTTATTACCAGACGAGCTCAATAGTGCATATAGTTAAATTAAATCTACAGAGTAAATTTTTAAATATTTGTGTGTTGTCTTAAATGTCTTTATTAAAAATATCGTCCGTAATGATATATTAAACGTTAAAATTAAGTTGTTCAATACCGTCCGGTTAGAACTTACAGGTTTCAACTAGACACATTTTATATATCCATAAACCTAGATAATATTTACAATTTCTAAATTACTTTTATTAATTTCACAAATAATTACTATCAATTCTAACAATGAACGTCAATAGGAACATAGAGCAATGTGGAGTTAATGAAATTATTTTTTGCGTCATTCCGTACACGCGCTATCGTTCAATGTTATCATGGTGATTGACCGTTTCGCGATACGATAAAACTGCGTTCTCTATCAGGGAAATATTGTAGCTAACAGTAGCTCACATCCGCGGCTTTGTCTCTCTTTGTCGTTCTTGTAGCATTTAAACTCTTAACTCGGTAAGTACAAGTTAAGCTGCATTTCAGTTTTTTTTAATTTACACCTACATACATACAATCGGTACATTTGAAGCATTGATCGACAAAAAACCTTGTAATTTTTTCACTAACATACGATTTCATTGAAAGTAAATGAAAAAGAAACCCATACAGCATTTTAGTAGATTAAGACGACATTTATTTTTAATTAATTATTCTATACATACAAATACAGATATTTTAATAATAATAATTTAAATATTCCTATTGTCTTTGAACCGTTCCCTTTTTTTACGTCACTAAAATTTACATATCTCTATTTTTTTTATTACTTTATTGTTACACGTGTGTATTGTTGAAAAGGGCGCGTGGAAAGGCCAAATTGAAAATAAAATTTTTGATAAAAAATAAAAGCTTGTATTATCAAAGCAGTAATTTTATAAAATATATGACTGCTATGGGCGGCTTTATCGCTATACAGCGATCTCTTCCAGGCAACCCCGAATGAAATAAAAAAGGAATATTCTGAACCATGTGATTACATAAATAAAACTTAAAGCTTTTGGATATACGGAGTTCAAAATATTTATTCGGGAAAGTATTTATTGTAATATAATTAAAAATATTCTGAGTAAGTGAAGATATTACACACGCGTCACTGATACCAAAAAAAACACAGGTGATGACAAAATGATGCATCTAAAAGATATTTTACGTAGGTATATACTCAAAATAAAGGCAAAAAAACTAAATATTTTAAGTCGGAATACTGACGCTTAAAAGTAAAACGAATTTTATATCGAAAGGTGTACACGAAAAAGAAATTTAAAACGTTCATATTTCAATTAATATAAAACAGCGGCGTCGAGCCAGTGAAACAATTCACAAGCTCCGAAGAAAGAGGATAATTAAAAAAATACGAATTTATTCCGGGCACGATCCCACGTCGAGTTTAATGGCAGTGGAAATTTCACCCGCGAGATCCGAGCGCGAAATGAAAGAATTGAGAGAACACACAATTCGCGATGCGATACAATAAAAGCGAAATCCCGTTTCCATTGCGTGGGGCATGGGGCAGGTACACGTTTAAGTCGACTAACACGCACTGGAGTAGATATATCCAAGAAAAGGTAAATAAATAACTTAATACATATATAATACATTAATAAGCCTCTAAAAAGAACGAAAGACTTGTTGTAAACAGGCCCAAAACTCTAATCGACACTATGTGTTAGGTATAGTTTCATACTAGCTGATCTGGCAAACATTCTTTAACTTCTTCGTTCTTAATTAATTAGTTTAACCATTTCGCGTTTTAGACCAAAGTATTATATTTAATACTCGCGTAACGTACAGTAGGCTACGGACTTTAGTTGTTGTATATCTCTCTTAAAAGATATATACAAAATGTTTCCATTCGAACCAGTAGTTGTGATTAGCACGTTCAAACAAACAAACCTTTAACTTTATAATATCAATTACGGTTATGGCGATTCTTATGTCTTGTACACAAGGGTTCAACTAGTAAATTGGTCAATAATCTATCAATCGCTCAGGTAATCCCCTATATTGCGATCTTCGTATAATCCGCACTCAAACACATTGAGGTGTATTGGGGAGGCTGATGAGTTAGACGCTCACTTCGATGGACGACAAAAGAACCCCTCCACTGCTGACGTAGTCAGAGTAAAATTGGTTACCGGTAAGCATTTTGCTGCTTACAAGCAGAAAGAGGGGATTAAAAACACAGTGCGCTTAAACACGAACTTCCGGGATTTCAAGACTTCATAGCTGTGCTACTTATAAGCTATATGAATATTGTATATAATATATCTAACTTTACTTAAAGTTTGATTTAGTGAAGTGTGAATTACTATTTGAAGTTTTAAATAATACAGAACTTTAAAAAATTTCTAGTAGGGCTCTCTCATCAACTCTGTCATCAAATCTTTATTTTCCTTGATAAAATTTAACCAAGTTTCATTATATTAGTGTGATAACGGTAAGGACTTTACGGTTTTAGATATACTACACACTACTACTACTTTATTTAATAGTAAGACTTTTAATCTATCTTCAATTGTGACAAAATTATCAATGACAAAAAATCGGATTAGTATTTCTTGTTCCTTTCAATTTGTTGTCTTTGAAGTATGAGGATTGTCATTAATAATAAAAAGGTGTAATTACTTTACACAGTACACGCTTATAATAACATAACCTACCTCACTGAAGAACTCGTCCATGTAGCCTCCTTCGACGGGGACGTTAACATCGTCTGGACCAACATCGTCATCATCACTTTGCGCCTGAAACAACATATTTGAGAATTAATCCAATTGAAAATTCATCTCCACTATGGATATTAAAATTTGGACAATCGGGTGTGATATTTGGAGGCAAAACTATTGTCAGCCTTAACGCCATATTTTCGATACAATCTCGCGAACTCACTACGGAGTCACGAACCATCAGTTGTGTTTAATTTGAAATTTATCGAGTGCGCCCTTTTGAAATAGCAAACATTTGTGTAAATTAGTTAAACATATATTTAATTATATTAAGCAAATAAATGCTTCTCTCCATTTTTCTATAACGCAGTGTAATGGAAATACTAGCCACTTTTTATCAGAGGATTGAATGGCTAAACTTAATAGATGGTAAAATTCGCCAACAGTATAACATCTCATTAGATGGGCAGCCGATCTATTTTGGTTTTGGTAGCAATTTATCAAGTTTCGCAAATGTACCAGAAACTAAACCGCTTCTGACTATTTTGGGCTTATATTAATTAATGTAGGATACTAGGTGTTACGTTATTTTAAATATCTTTTATACCAAGAGTTAGGTACATTTATGCATAGGCAAAATATGTCTTCACAGCCTTTTTACCATGCTATTATTACAAGAATAGAGCTATTATCATACACTACGGGAGTTTGTCCTTCGTCTCAACTAGCACTCAAACCTGCCTACCACTTAAGACACCGCGTTTTATTTTTCATCCGGCCTACAGTATCGTTAGAATTTCTATAGCCTTTGATAAATGGTTTTTCAAGGATTTACCAGCTCAATTTAAACTCATTACTGAAGATTACTTTGGACTCGCGAGATACGATGATGAGGCAAAATTTGCTAGCAGAGATAAGTCAATTTTCCTTCCAGTAGACGTGCGAGTCTACGGCGCAATTTGGTAAATTACTTTTAGCTGTGCCGTTTAGTTAATATTTTGGGGTTTTGTGCGGTGGTAAGGCGACGTCGGATGGCACACGTAGAGCTAAATTGAATCCACTTAGCTGAGGTGAGCTAGCCATTATTCAATTTATTCGGGCAGTTCCCGTCCCCACAAAGGCCCTACGACCCGGATATAGTAGGATGGCTGTTGGTGAAAATCTGCATGTAAAGCATAATACGGTTTGTATGTTCGTTTATTTAAATACGCTTGTATCTTTTTTATGAAGATATTCGCTTTGGACATAAAGAAATCCACAGATAGCGATAAGACTGTCAGTCTTATCAACATCAGAATGGATTCTTCATTGCTTTCGTTTGATCAACGAGACTGTTAATTTCGTATTTACCTTTGAAATTGGAATTCTACAATATTAATCGGTGTAAACGTTAAGAAAAGTAAAGAATCCCTACGCATAACGCAAGGAGTAACTCTGCAGCCTATGTCATAGTTAGTCCGTATGTAGGTCACGGTAAAGTTATTCGTAGCGCCATCGCCATTACAATACAAACGATCCGTCTAGGGTGCTAGGCGCACGCTTCTATCGTTTGATTATTTTCGCTACTACGGGAAGAACAAAACTATTATACATAACATGATTACTTTTTCTTCGACCGTTTTGTGTATTTCTTTGAACAGCCAAACACGCATGATGTGTGGCATGATTTATTTGCCATAAGGTAGATTTCCGATAGAATTATAAGCAACACTTATCACATACATCCACAGCTACACACCGTTTAAAGCAAGAAAAAATTCAAAGGTAGATATTATGTGGCGATTTTGAAGAGTTAAAACTGTTAGAACGCTACGAAAACTCTTTCTCGTAAATACATATATTATTTGTTTAATTAAAGGTTACGTACATATAACATATCTTTATGATACGACCCTTCATAATTAAAATTTTTCAATATTACTACACTTATCCCTTATTGAATACGATATTTTGAATTGCAACAAATGAATAAAGTACAAAACACCTTCCAACAGTTTAAAACTCGAATTATATTAGTAAATTACTTTTTTTTTTATTTTAGCTAGAACCGGGCTTATTTAATTTGAAAAATGAACCGCGTTCTAATTTACCGATGTAAATTAGAGCGATCTTTTTCATAAATATAAAAAGAGCAAACGCTGCGAAGGCTTCAAACAAGGGTAATGAAGGGATGAACACGCGCAAGGGCAGCATTATATCAGCACAAGCTGTAGCAGATTCAATAAACGAGATGCGAAGTGAATACGAAATGAATTTCGCTTTATGCGTGTGAATTTTGTTTGCGAGTTGCTGTAGACAAACGAGTAAGATATATCAATCTATTCTCATTTTATCTGAGATAACTGCTGTGCGTTCGTATTCTTGAAGATAGTTATAGCTTATAAAACAATACAAGACATACAAACAAGATGAAAACAAGTTATGTTATTGTATCCAGTTCAATCAATAATTTGTATTTTAATTCTACTACTAGAGTTGAGATGCCTAACACATAATATTTTGTTTAATTCCTAATGCGTTATTACGTTTAATTGTGAATGTGTACAATCTACTTTTATGTAAGGTTAAGTTCCTTTAACTACTGCCATCTGTTGTTTATTAAACTTTTTATTACTCAGTGGAAACATTTCGTTTAATAGAAAAAAATTACATGTTATTGCACATGGTAAATAGAAAAAGATCTATTTATATTAAAAAAGCAATAACACAACCGAGACTCGAACTCACGCCTACAGCGTTTCGTGCTATTGTCCTTACCAATTGGACTTACTAGGACACTCTAAGAAATCTAACCATGCATTTAACATCCAATGCTAAAATTGTTGACGCAACTCTTTCAATACGCTCGATAGATGACGTAATTGTTCCAGTTTTCACCGAAATGAAATTGCTTAGAGATTTCCATCGCATACTTTGTTATACCTGCTGACATTTTATCGCCACCTATGCAGTGAATGCAATTTTCACTGCCACGAGTTATGCTTGCATTTTCGTAAGACTTATACCGGGGAAGTCCTTTTCTTGCTACAGTTTTGCGTCCGTTTTAAAGATAGCTCTTATTACCAGGATTAGTGGAATAAATTGGATAACTTAATTACAATTTGCTTTATTTGTTTATTAACAAATCTTCTACCGTCTACACGTCTAACTTCTTAAACAGGTTGAACCTAATACGATAGAAAAACATATACAACCTAATACTTTTAAGTACGGCCGGACGTTTCAGATGCTTTGCAAATGTGTCCAACTGTCGTAAATAACACAGTGAAAATAGAGTTATATTTATTCCTTAATCGTATATTCATTGATTTTGTTATTTTTTTTATCTTTAAAAAGTACTAACTTTGAAACGTCTAGCCCAGTGATTCCCAAAGTGGTCCACATGGACCCCTAGGGTCGTTGGTAGGTATGGTGGTTCGTAGGTATGTCTATGACAACGTACTATGTCCATGAAATGAAAATGGGGGTCCCCGATATTCGCCTACCATCAAGTGAGCCCAATGCTCGTGTCTTTCTCCATCATGAAAAAAAGTTAGATTGGATTTGATCGCAATCAATCAAAACTTATGTGTGGGAGTGACAAATGTTTAATTCTTACAACTCATCGTCTACGCCTAGCTACGCTACAGACTATAAATAGACTAAGATCTCTATTAATAAACAAGCAAAGCGGGATTTAATTTACTATTTACTGAGTAACGTGAGAAACCTTTGACCTTTGCCTACTATTTATATTAGTACAGGCGTCGTTTTTACGTGTAGAATTTTACTCCTTAGAAATATATAATTTAACATTTTCTATAGAGCAGAGCGTTTATCTTTGTCGCACAGTATATATATTTTTTTATAAACAGTTCAAATTGTAAAGTTTGGAAATGACGAAGTTAAACATAAGTCTAATAATTAATTGGCATTTATTTATAGCATAGGTTATATTTGAAAACTGTCTTGACGGTGTATTGGTAGGCCATTTGGCTGTAATCACGAATCCTGGATAAGAATCACGTGTGAGCTGAAGTAATACATGAATCCCACTGTAATGTTTTTGTTAAGTACTACAATGTGTATACTCAAATAGAAAGATTTAATAACGCACCAATAAGAAGGTATGCTTTATTTAAACGCAGCAGCGCTGACTAAAGCTTAGAACTTGAACATAAAACACCGTCAACGGTTTAAAACTCGAAATATATTACTTGTAACTACCCACGGTTGTTTCAGAGCATCCTAAGCGTCGGGCTCTATTTGAAATAAGTTGTCAAAAAGTCAGCCAATACAATTTGCGTTTTAAAACTTTACTAAATAGTACACATTAAAATAAAACACTATTAGCGTAGTACTTTCATGGAACCTTTAAAGCTTAGAACTTATTTTTGAACGAAGTCGTGAGCTAGCGGCTAGTCTATCGACATTGCCTGCGAGTGTCACGAAGTCTAGACACGTATTTCAATCGAACAAGTTCCGCTACAGCAAGTGGTATTGGCTGTAGAATGAAGGAAACTTCAACTCGACTAAACCATTTCCTAAACCGAACTAACTGAAAGTATTTATGAAAAATATGTATATAGTAAAATGTAACGACATCCAGTATTGCCTGTAGTTCACGCCAATAGTACACATTAAAAAACAAAAATACTTCTAACGTTCTAAAACACGAAATATAACGAAACGTCGAACAGTAATTAAAATAAATTAAAAATAACTCGTATACTTCGCGTTTTATACCGTTCAAAGTGTTTTATTTAAATGTAAAGCCTAATAGCTTTTCGTTTTACAGATTCAAGGATTCTTGGGTTCGATAGCAACAGAATCAAAATATTGTTACATCGTCTGTAGGAACTTAAGATCCTTGGGTATTTCACATTTTATCAAGGTAACGCCGTGTCTTTTGACCATAAGTTAAGTTTTGAGGAAAAACGTGCATTTTAGCATCCTTATTGATAACTACTAATGCACATAAATGATTAAGACGATTGAAAGTCTAGTCTAGTCTTCCCACGGGTCGTAGCTCGCTAATTACGTTGCGAGATTTCAAATAGCTCTCTTTACTGACCTACATCCGTTTAATACCATTATTG